TAATATTAATATAAAACAAAAGAGAATAAATATAAATTGAAAATAGATATAAATGATAATAATATAATAATGATAAAGATGAATATTCAAATAATAAAATACATTTAAATATAAAAGAATAACAATAAGAAAATCTAAATAATATAAACATAAAAAACATAAAATAAGAAGAATATAATAATATATAGATAATAAGAAGAATACAATGATATAAATAATATAAACAGAGAAATAAATATATAAAAATACGATAGATAAATAACATATAAATAAAAGAATATGAATAATAAAAATAAATATAAATAATCAAATCATCTATTTCATTAATATTTCATACAAAATGAATAGAAATGATTATAAAATATAAACATAAATATTTACATATTCTGTATTTATCATACTTTTTATTTTTTTATTTTTTTATTTTTTTATTTTTTCATTTTTATTTTAGGAGCAAAATATAATAAATGGAATATTCTATGGATGCAAATTTTTTTGCATCTTTTTTCTTTTTTGTAAATTATTTAGATGCATTTTTTCTTTGCTAATTTTCGTACCCATCTAATAATACCCTTAAACTAAATAAGATAGATTACCACTAAGATTTGTTCAATGTTTTTTTTTATTATTTTAACAGTTATTAATGTTGAAGGAAGATATCTCTATGATATTATTGATGCACAAGACAATGTACTTAATTCTAGAAATGAGGAGAAATCATACAAGTACTTTAAATATGTTAGTAATGAATATCAAACTGAATATTATCCGCTTAATAGTTGTATTAGTTTTACTGATTATGCTGCTTATTTCTTTTATAACAACAATACACATATGAATTTCACTTATTATGCTACTATGGAAAACTGTAAAAATGCAATTAATCCAATTGAAAACCGTACTCTTCAAATTAACTATTCTACTGTTGATGAAATCAGAGACTCTCATTTTCTCATTTATGTCTATTATGATAAAGGATGTAAAAACTTACAATATATTTTTGGTAAAAAGAAATTATGTTTTCCTCATGATGGAAGATGGTGGAATTTTACAATAGTAAAGAATACAATCCAAGGCAGGGAATACTCCGACTCATCTTGTTTAGACATTGTTAGTAATTTCACTACCGACTTAAATGTTTGTTTAACATATCCTCAGAATGTATTTTATATTGATCCTTCAAAAAATGAATTACCAGGATTAAATTTAGATTATGACTATAACTATAATCATGTTGAGAATAATGCTGAAATGATACTTGGTTATTTAACTATCATGTTATGTATCTTCAGTCTCATATAAGATATTCATTGATAGTACTAGAATCTAATTAATCTATTCTTTGTCTTTTATTTCTTTTTCACTAAAACTAAGAAAAATTATGAGATCAAGACGTACACTAGCATCCACAAGAAGAAGTGGACTTACTCCAAAACCTACAGCAAAGAACTTTGATATAAATGATTATGCTGGAAATATCACTGTCTATAAAGTGGACCAGATTCTTCAATTTGATCCTACTAATATGAAAAGTGCTACAGCAATAGTAGAGAATAGTAACACATCTTAAATCAATGTTGATATGACTAGTTTAAAGACTGAATTATTTAGAACAAAGGCTAATTATGACCTAAGATTTAATGTTAAATTATCTAATGATGATAATAATGATGATACTGATAATACTAATGAAAAGATATATGGAATAGGATTCTTATTTCTAATTAATGATAAGAAAACAAAATATGACGTTATTATGTACTGTAATACAAATGAAAGTCAAATTCAAGTTCCATTAGAAAGTAGTTTGTCATTTAATCTTAATGACTCATTCTTCTTATTTGGAGAAAATGCTTACTCATCACTTACTATTAATCATCATATTGTTTCTATTGAATATAATGATTATCTACAGATCCTATTAAATAATATGCCATTTGGTCTTCAAAGAATCTTAGGTGATTTCACTTTCTCTAATGTTCTCAGTATAGTAAGTTATGATTATAATGAAACTACTGGTTCATGCTACTTAAACTAATTGATTATTTCTTAAAAAGAATTCAATTATCATTTAATTGTTAATTAATTATCTCTTTCTTAAATTATTTTCTTCTTCTACTCATACCTTGATTAGGAGTATTCTTCTCATTCTCTCTTTTACTAGTAGTAGTAGTAGTCTCATCACGGGTACGAAAATTAGCAAAGAAATAATGCATCTAAATAATTTACAAAAAAGAAAAAAGATGCAAAAAAATTTGCATCCATAGAATATTCCATTTATTATATTTTGCTCCTAAAATAAAAATGAAAAAATAAAAAAATAAAAAAATAAAAAAATAAAAAGTATGATAAATACAGAATATGTAAATATTTATGTTTATATTTTATAATCATTTCTATTCATTTTGTATGAAATATTAATGAAATAGATGATTTGATTATTTATATTTATTTTTATTATTCATATTCTTTTATTTATATGTTATTTATCTATCGTATTTTTATATATTTATTTCTCTGTTTATATTATTTATATCATTGTATTCTTCTTATTATCTATATATTATTATATTCTTCTTATTTTATGTTTTTTATGTTTATATTATTTAGATTTTCTTATTGTTATTCTTTTATATTTAAATGTATTTTATTATTTGAATATTCATCTTTATCATTATTATATTATTATCATTTATATCTATTTTCAATTTATATTTATTCTCTTTTGTTTTATATTAATATTAATTTTATATTTTATACTTTGATTTTATTATTATATCATTGATTATCATTTCTCGTTTTATTTATCATTTATTCTTATTATTCTTTTGTTTTATATTCTATATCATATATTCATATCATTTTCATTTATATTTTATCACTTATTATATGTTATAATAACATAACACATATGATTGAATATATAATAAATATCATGATGAAGTTATACATATAAATAATAAACATAGAAAGAATAAAATATTTTTCATCAATAAAACAATATTAATTATTTTGCATCATTAGATTAGACACTTTTATTTCATATTTCTAATTTTTACAATAAAAATACACAATTTATTTCTTATTTTTTCTTCTTTTATTATTTATTCTATTTTATTACTCTTTATCTTCTTCTATTTTCTACTTTCATTATCTACTTCTGCTTTCTTCTTAACTTCATTTTTCTGTTATTTGTTTTTTTTTTTCGTTGCTAGGATACACTAGCACTATATATTGAACTATTGATGATTCATAATTTATCATGAAGATACTCACATTCTTATTCATTATATTAATCTTCTTGTTCATTAGATCTTTGACTTTGTCATCCATCATCATTCAATGCAAAGATTGTTTGTTCACTTAATGACCATGTAGTTTTATATGAATGGACTATTGGAGAGTCTGTACTTATTGTATGTGGTTTCTCTATCACTAATGTAAATGATTCATTATTATTAAATGTGGATTTCTGTTTGTAATTTTGAAGTCCTTTGTCATACGTTGGTTGAATTTGGTATTGAGCACTTGGTGTTTCAATTGAATTATTCATCGAATAGAAACAATTTACTGTTTGAATGAGATTCTGATTTCCTACAAACACGTTTGTAACTGGTTGAGTCTTGATAATAACTCTTA